CGATTAAAATTAAATCTCTCCCACGGTAGCTCTCCATCGTCCGTGGCTGGTACAAATTACAGTATTTTCTGAGGGAATTTCTGTATCGGAGCGGGCCCCCGTCAATCAAACGACACTCCGCCCAGACAGACACGGTTGAACGCCAGGGCGAGGATGGTTGCTCATTCGAGGCGATCGCTATTTATTGATCGATCCTTGCATTCATGGAGCGCAGGATATCCATTAGGAGGCCAGTTGCCTGTTACGTACACATGCACGAACCGGGAACGTATTTTTCATTGATCCGACGAATTCTGTTCATGGGAGGCGCACCAGTGGCCACCAACACCGAATATTTTGCCCGTTAACCTTTTAACTCGTTCGTGCACCCTGTGGGGCCGATCGAAAGCGCAACAGTCTTTGTACGCTTTTCCTTTTCCATGGTTTTCCGAATTTCGATGACGATCACCTTTCTTCCCAATTCTCCTTGGCGAAACGTTGCTTCATAATATATTATTCCAAATAGCACAAGTGTGATAATAAAATAGTTTTTAATAGAATTCTCTCGTTCTATCAAACTTGTTTTCAATATCGCCTCACTTTTGGAATTAATTCTGGGTGTTACTTTTGTTCGTATTATCATACATATCCTTCCCATCGGTTTATCCGCTATCAGATTCGATAGCTGGAACATCTTTTCCAATTTTCTGACTCCACCTTCAAGTTCACCAAACAATGGACAAACGATCCAACGTTTGTCGACTGTTTCGTCCTGAATTTCATGGTCCGACGCCTTTTGCCTTTCGAGCAGCCAACGTTTCGCCAGCGAAATTACGTTTGTTGGCCAGAGAGCGGCCACGGTAATCAACAAGCCTCTGTTAATTACACACTTAATGATCGCGAATCGGGATTAAACGGCGTGTCCTGCGGCTGGATAATTACTTGTGCCACTAACCGATTTTCCACGCGTGATCTGCGTTCCAAGAAACTGCGTTTTGAGAAGGTAACGCAGGTTGAAATTCGCATAGGTTGGGGCTTGCCTACTGTTTTATAGGACGGGAAAATACCACTCACACGTGGACTCTGAAATTCTTTTTCGAGATATAGAAACGTGGTAAAAAAAATGATTTTACATTGTGCTTCTATATTCATTTTCATTGGAAGGTTTGGTGATTGCAATTAAAGCTTGGCTACCGCTTTTAAATGCTTCACAATCAGTTACAAAATAAAAATAATGACCAAAATTTGACAAAATCTGACAAAAATTGCTCACTCTGAATTTACAATATTTAATTTGTCTGATCCCAATCTACTCTGTCCCAATTTATTATCTAACTTTTTTTCGTCGAGTTCGATAAAATACCAGATTAATTTCAATGGCTCGTAAACTCGAGCCAAGAAATCTTCCCGTCTTGCAAATAAAGACGGATCCGCCTCGAAAATCCTCCGTGTCCTCGGAAAACCATCGACTCACATCAGTTCCGAGCCCCGGTGGATTTATTCCGTTAACTAATTTCGTCCAACGCTTTATGAGTGCAATTAAGGGCTAGGTGGGATAACACCATCGGTGTTTCACGTGGAATTTTGCGGTGCATAATCCGGCTTTAATAGAAAAGTACGCGCCGCGCTTGGAAGTAATTGGATGAGAACGAATACGGTGAGGCGAAAAAATTTGCAGAGTTCCAGTGGTCCACTTCTGCACCGCGTTTACCCAAACAGAAAAGGATGTTGAACTATGGAATACGGCCGAATACGTTTAACTCGAAATGGGAAGCGTGATGAAGCATCCCGTTCTCGTCGTTTCGCCAGCGATTTTAATACGCGTGCAAACTTCCAATGTGCGAAGTTAAATTACGAAATTTATTATCGTTTTCAGCTGTAATGCTCGGCGGGGACCGGTATCAGTGCTGGGTAAAATGTTACTTCGAACAGTAAATAGCGGTTAGTATCGTTTAAAATTGTGGGTGTGATTGATTGAAAGTAAAATAAAATTGAAATAGGTTTCCGAAGAAGCATGATCAGTTAGCTGAGTACTTTATCCAATTACGTTACGTTTTAAACGTAACCAAAAGGTGTATGCAATTAGCCAAAAAGAAATATTAATATTACCGTATTAATTAATAGAATATATTCTACAATACAAGTGTTACTCATATTTTTATGCCATAAATGCACGAAATCAGGCTTGATTTCTATCGAAAAGCAGAGTAACCCCTACCAAAAGCCTCGTCAATAATAAAGAGTAGCAGTGCGATAAATTTACAATCCTTTGAAAAATATTGAAGAAATACCATTGTCTCCTGAGCTTTTGTCGATACCCAGAGCATTAATTGTCAAACACCTAGCTAACAGAAATATCGCCAACGTCGACATACCTATCCAATTGTTCGCCACGACGTGAAAAATCCGTTTTTCTTCGATTGAAAAGTGTTTGTCGAACGTTCAGTTTGAAGTTGGTTCAACAGTGCTCTGTTTGCCCCGCAAGCATTCATTTCGCTTCAGGATCGAAAACGAACGGTTGACGTCGATCATCGAGCTCCCACTGGCGTATTACACCCGCATTCGCACGACAACGTGCATTGTCGAACAATGATAGGAACGTAATTAAACGGGCTCATAATTCTGAGCTGCTCCCGATGGATAGAGCCATGTAAACGTAACGACGAGCGACCATTGCGGATCCAGAAACACCTATACACGCGTCGATAATGATTTTCTGTGTACAGGCAGATTCTATCTGGGCACTGTTACGTGGCCCCCAGTGCATCCGCAAGTCGTTAAAACGTGTTAATTGAACGTTCCAGGCTCGTTTAACGAAGATTATCGATTTTGCCCGTCCTACGCGTTGTCTGCATTCTACAACATTTTAGAAAGCATCGAGACTCGCAATCGGTTTAACGAACTGAAGGTGGAAAGGAACGATGACGCGTTGGAGGATGTAACGTAGTAATAATCGCGGAGACTCGCGATGTTAGCCGACATTTTCAACGTTTTCTCCCTTTTATATTCGAGAATTTTCACTTACATTTTAAATACAAATTATACAACGCAGTTTATATTTCGTAGGCCCTATAATTGGCGTAATCTACCTCTTCATAGATGTAATACTGCATACCTTCATTTCGTTCTGCGAGTTCTGGGACGACCTGTATATTCGAGATTAAAATTAGAAGTTTTAATAACACCCACTTAACTCTAAATCTAGATTCACTTCATTTCAGAGTCACGCCCAGTTAATTCATCGCGAAACGACTATCCCACTTTTCAAGAAACTTGCAGAAGTTTCGTTTCCATATTCCACTCGCCTCAACCGTTTACCTTGCAACTTGTGCATCTCGCCAAGTTTTCGGCTGATTAGGCCAACTAGTCACGTAAGATCACTCGATGGACTGAGCTATTCTCGACGTGTCTCCATTTTAGTTAATGACATCGTCTAGTTTTCTTCGGTACAGCACTCTTTTTACAGTTTGGAAGGACTTCATGCATGAATTTCCAAGTGACACAGCGGAGGGATTCATAAAAATTCACATGTTTATGCATGCTTGTTCTAGGCAACCTTGATAGCTCAAAATCGTAAAAATGTCACTTGAGAACCTCCCTTTAAATGCTTATGGAGCTTCTCCTCGTGCAATTTCTTCTGAATATTGCTAAGAAAATAAAGACTTACGCAGCAATTCAGAGACTATTTGAATAAACTTGGAGGGTTCGCTCGGTCTGACTTCACGTTTTGTTTTCTACTAGTTGTCTTACCGTAGACAGCCTCATACCACTTACGATCTCCGTATCGAGGTGCACAATTAAAACTTGGTGTATATTCTTTCTTTCTATTAAGTATCGCCTGACTCAAGTCAAATTTGATTTAAGGCAACTTTTTTAACAAAAATTTGAAAACGGTCATTTGTCTGGACACGGTATGTTTAGTATTAAAGCAAGACTACGTGTAACAAAGGATGCATTTTGATAACGACATTCGAATACTCAACCATTCGAACCTCACAGCATTCGATACCCGTAAAATATTCAAATACAATTTAAATGGTCCTCCAGCGCCACTCCATTTTCACTCGAAAGCAAATCGTGACGCAGTATCCTGATCATTTCTCGTTCCTCAGTCCTCTAACTAGATCCTCCAGTACCGAAGATTTGCTGCACGAGTTCGTTCCCTCGGTACGACTTTCATCGAGCGAAATCCGTTTCCGTCGACGCATAAATTGCTCGCCAATGCGGTAACGAAGAGCGTTTCGGTCTTTTCCCTCTCTGGTAAAGGGAAAGGACGACGATCGATCAATCGCCCGCGCGTCTGGACGGACAATTCTCGAAACCGAGTACCTCGCTGCCTCTGGGTTGACCCTTTCGCGTCACGCAACGTGGCCCGTCCTATTTCCGTCTCCTAGTTTAATTTACGCAAGCTTTTGGGATTACACGCTGCGAGATTAGTGGCTTACGCATCGATCATCCCGAGCCTAGCGAAGCATGACCTTCTCTCGATCGCGGAGGAGCGCGGTCTGACCCGTAGTAGACGAGTTTTGTAAGTGTCGTTGTTTTAATTGGTAGCTGAGCTTGCGGATTTAATAAAGCAGACAAATTTCCTTAGATTTAACCAACCTTCTGTTCGATTTCATTTGTAACCATGGGATCTAGGAATAAAGCAATAGAATATTCCGTGACTATTGTTTCATCTATAGATTTGATTCATGCGAGCAGACGATCATGGAGGATCGAAATCTAAATTGAGTAGATACTTGATTGAGACTGGGAAATTTCTCATTTTTTTTTCCATTTCTTTGCTACTAGTTAATACGTTGACGTACTTGAAACTTTAATTTTTGAATAGTAACGTGTAACGGTAATTTAATAATGAATAATGACGCATAAATCGATTTAATAGTCAACGTGTTAACGGTCCACGCTGAAATCAATCCTGACATCATACTCATCGCTATGAAAACACATCTAGTAGAACAACGTTTGAACCATAACCTGGCTGAGTCTGAAAGTGTTCGTAAAACGTTTTGTTGTAGATACGATCGAATCTTCGTGGCGATACGCAGGAAAATATGAAAGCGGTAAGGCACACCTTAATATCAATCTATCAATTATTCTTTTGCTTGTCAATCGTTTAGACGATCTACTATTAATTACGCGTGGTGTCTCGAAGGCTTGTCTATTGGTGCAAAGGGACAATGATCAGAAGTATGAGACAAATTAATTTCATTTATTCAATAATAATAAATTAATGTTATACATAGCTTACATTTAAAAAAGACCTAAGGCTCATACTTTTGATACCTCAAAGAAAAGTAATGAATTATAATAAAATCAGAAAAATAGAATTTAGAAATATGTAGAATGCGAAGAACTTTTCACATCTTGAACAATTTTAGTTAATTTTGTCGTTCATTTTTCTGCCATGTAAGTATCTCTAAATTCTTCTTTTCCATTTTTAAATCCCGCGTATTGCTATCTGTAATAAACATCTGCATCGTCAAGAACGTATTTCTAATTTATCCTCGTTAACTTCCAGAATAATTAAACGCAAGTAAACACGACGAACCGAGCCGATGAAAACGAAGGATTACCGAGTTACATTCGTTTCGTATAAATATGCACGCGTCCCACTTATTTTTAGTCGTTTGTTTCGCAGTGGTAATTCCGTACCGAGTAAATTATTCAGCGACCGATGTTCCTTTGCACCTCGCCCACACGCCTGGGAACAAAGTTGCAGCTTATTTTGCGATGACACCTTTCCCGCCTAAAGTGACATCGGCTTTACATTAATATTGCTGAAAACCTCGAAGCAACTTTAAGACGATTACGAAACTGGTAATGAGCACAAGTTCTGCGAAATAACGCGATAAAGCAGATGGTCACTGCGCTTTCGTTAGCAGATTCCCGGCAATTAACGTTGTTTCAAATATTCAAGCTCTAATTTTGTCGTGAAACTCGTAGTACTCACAAAAATAAATATTTATGGACAAACTTAGGCGTATATGAATCGAAGGATGAGAATTTGGAGGGCTCGAACGAGCTATTATTTTTTTCACGTTACGTTCCTTCGTTTAAGAGTAATCTCCAGAAATCAACGTGTAAAAAATGTTTGTTAAAAATTAATTTATAGAGATGTGGGACGAGGTTGATTATACCTATCAAATAGAAACGTGTGTTTTATAATAAAAAAACAAATTTTAAATTAAAAAATGTTTATATCAACGCAATTCAAATACATCGTAACGAAACTAACAATTCAGACTCCTCTTTCTCAAAATAGCATTTAATTAATTTCCTATAAGTCACTAAATATTTCCTACTTAACTTTTAAATACCTGAAAAAGTCTAACCACAGAAATTGAAAAGAAACAAAGAACTTACAACCATAATCCACATTCTCGGCTCCCCCATTCGTGCAACCGCGGGTCCCATGCGACCATAACTCTAATTCGCATAAAAAGCAAAGTGGTCCGCGAGAAACTGGACGGTCGGGATTTAAACGTCGAGATTATGATCTTCCATAAAATTAAGGTATAAAAAAAAAGGGGCGCGGTCGCTAAAAATAATCGGAAGAGCAGAAAGCAATTCTCCGAGTTGGTTACGGGAGGGATTGAGGGGGGTGGCCGAGCTCGTAAAGCTAGCGGATTTCTCTGTCTTGCCGCTTTCCAAGGGGGTCGTGTCTTAAACCACCCTGGGCGTTTTCACTCTTCTCAATTATGCTGAACGTCATCTGCATTCCTGAGGGCGCGGAACGGCTTCGGCAAAGCTCATCTGCATTTCGGTTCGTCTGAGAGCCGACAGTTTTCGCGACCACGTCCACGTCGTCGCATCAACGAGGCGTATTTTCACTGGTGTTTATGCATCCAAGCACTTACGACGCTAAAATCTCAGAAAAAAAAAGGCCTTCTTCGTGGTATACTTTAGGGGTATACGAGAAATATTTATTTTGGGGTATTAAATTGGCTAGAAAAGACGGGACAGGGTCGTGGAAAATGGCTTGTTGATTGATACTTCGATTGATTGATTCAAGATAGATTTCTTCGATTTTCATTTCTTTCGCTTTTTACAAAATTCGTCAAGTCCAAAGAGCTTTGGTTCTAAAAGTGTTGGTAAACATCACTTGGACCCATTTCTTGCGTTGAAAGATAGGAATTTCTCTAAACGTGGAGTCTGCACAGATGATGGGGGAAAGATCATAGAACGAAATGGAGAACATCTGACGGAATAAAGATATTTCCTTGTCTAAGAAAAATCGCTTTTATTTACACATTTCGGCCAACCTGATAATTACAATAATGTCACAAGCAAGCATCTGATGAGCCAACTAGTCAGGTATATTCTTTCCCAGATCGTCAACGGGCTGGCAAAGTGACCTTGCAATCAACCTCGTCGGAGTTTCAATGGACTAATCTGTTTATCCTCGCCAAAGCGTCGCTGTGCCTGTTCGTGCAGATCGCGATTCGGCGAGTTGGGTTTTCAGGTCAACGAACCGACCTCAAACCAGCCGAAAAGTCGGACCGGTCGAATCGTTCTCCATTCAAACACGTAAAGCTCCGACTAAATCTTGATTCGAGTTCAAGGAACGTATACGTCGTCGAAGCTGAATGCCGCGTTGATGAATGTCACGCGCGACGTCAAAAGGATCAGGCATCGCTGATTATTATTAATAGATCCGTCGAATAATACTTGCACGAGGTCGTGCTGGGCATTCTACAGACGATGGAAACCGCACACTTCGTGTATAGTTTAAGTAACAGTTCGAATGTATGTATATAGATATTTCACCTGCAACGCCAAGATCTCTCAACAATTATAGTCGAGGTTCACCCATCCAATCTAACTCGTTCAATCTGATTCGTAGTGCGCCTAACCCAAAATACGTAATTACAAGTTTGAATCCTAGTAGCCAGTCTTAAATAAAATAGATTAAGGTGGAATGAGTTAAAGGTGAAATTTCCTATGCGAATACAGACCGAACAGTCAATGTTGGAGTACGTGTACTTTGTTTGCTTTGTACAGTCAAAAATGAAAGCACTCTAATTTAAGAGCAAATCTCATTTGCATTTTTCGGCCCACATTCCAGCGTCCACATATATTGTACAACCATAGGTAATAATAAAATAAATAACAACCAATGGTTCCTGCGGTTTCTCTGTTACAGTGCAGCGGGAACGCGGTGCGCTGCTTCGCTGGTGGTCCGCGGAAGAGCAACGAGTCCCAGTGTCCGATGCTGCAGAAGCTCGAGAGGCCTATTCTCTCGTCGTCCACGACGACCACGCCGCCAACAAAATCGACGATCGTGAGGAACCACCTGAGCAGTACCTGCAGCGTGACGAACTCGCCCCACCAGAAGAAGCTGAGGTTCCACCTGGCCAAGGAGAGAAAGGCCAGCACCACACTCGGCATCATAATGAGCGCCTTCACCATCTGTTGGCTGCCCTTCTTCGTCCTAGCCCTGGTCAGGCCGTTCCTCAGGGACCCTAACGCGATCCCAGCGTTCCTCTCGAGCTTGTTCCTCTGGCTAGGTTACTGCAACAGCCTCCTAAACCCCATTATCTACGCAACGCTGAACAGGGACTTCAGGAAACCGTTCCGGGAGATCCTTTACTTCCGATGCAGCAATCTGAACCACATGATGAGGGAGGAGTTCTACCAGAGCCAGTACGGCGATCCCATCAACAATTACGAGATCAAGGCAGGCGAGATGGACGGCGCCGAGTGCCTCGACAATCAGGGCGTCGAGTCGATCGACGTCGCCGCCAACGCCCCCAACGAGAGCTTCCTATGATCCGGAAGAGACTTGTCCTTCGTTCGTCGGAACTAGCGACCGCTACGAGACCACCTGGCCTCTCGGACGAACTCTGATCGATCGCGACACGCGCGCCCGTCGTCGTCGAAAGACGTCCCGTCAGGGTAACCCCCCATCGATCGTTCGACAAGTACCAAATCGATTTCCCGAATCTAATCGAGGGATGCTCCTACCTTGAATCTACTTCGCGAAACCGTGGCGAGGGGAGCAGCCCGAAATACTCAGCGTCGACTGTGACGAGTTCGTCGAGAACCCGACGTTCCTATGCTTCCTGCGAATCGAAACGAGGCGAGGAATGGCCCGCTTATCACGGACGATCTGTAAGCCTGACGAATCGCTCATCGAGCAATTTCTCAGCCGCGGTGACGTCTGAGATCCACGACCGGTCAACGTGTCCAGCCCTCGACGAGATCTTTTCTTGCACACCCTCGTGACGAACGGAGAAACGAGTCTTGGTGATATCTAGGCGGGATCCTGTCATCGCCAAAGGATAAAAAGTGGATTCATGGTCCTCCGTTCCGGACCACGGTCTCGCGGAGACGCTGAGTAAGATACGACGTGAGTCGGCGCTTCCTTGGGGACGCGCGACTGGAGCAAACCGCAGGGTACCTTTGGTGCACGATGAATAAGTACGTCTTTCGCATAATGTATCCCAGTCGTGTAAACAACGGTGCACTCTACACTCGTGGAAACGATTACCATGTACACAGGGTGTTCCTTGAGCGGGGACTCTGACTTTGGCGAGGTGTTCTAGTCGGTTGGTGGGTTCGAGGGTAGTTTGTTCGAGAGTTGCAACTTTTCAAAGTCACGTGTTGGATAAGGGGAGAAAAAGACGTTCGAGGTAATGGGAAGAAAGAAACATCTCTCTTTTCGTTTGTATTTTGGCATACTGATAGTAAATATAATTTTCCTTTATTACTGTCTGAATTCGTCAAGCATTTAATTTACACTTTCCAGCATAAAGCTTTGAAAATCTGTAACTCGGAACCAAGGGATCTTCGAACCTACGTTTACCTATCGAAGAATGCTCTGCCAAAGTTTGTCTTGTTTCGGAGCCCTCCCCCTATATTGTACAGAAGTCGAGTAAGTAATCTGTGTAGTATCGCGTCGATAATCGTGAACGGTGTTTAATTAGCAGACGAAGGACGTCTCGAAAATAGAGAGCTCTTCGATCTAAATGTGGGGAAGCGTGTCTACCAGTGAACACACCGCGGAGGAATCTGCGTTACGTTTGAGAAACGTGATTGCGCGATGCACTCGCGCGAAACTTGGACTCTTGATCGATGTAATTGCCGCCGTTCTAGATGAAAATAATTTGTAACGGTCGTGATTACCGGGAAAATCGCTGGAGATGGGTGGAACGCGCAATACGCGTTAGGAACAACACTCTGAGAAAGATAGTTCGTTTCGAGGGTGTTATTCGGTTTGGAGTAACAGTAATTTCCAGGACTAGTTCGTTAAACTTTCTTTTTTTTTTTTATTTACTTTGTTTCAAGTCGTTGATGTATTAACTCTTTCAGACCTGAAGTATTTTTATTTCTCGTACTAATATAATTGAATTTTTGGAGCTAACTTGGACTAAAATTAATGTAGAAAACATTTAAAAAAATCCTAATAGTGTAGTTGTCGAGGAGAACTGGTCTTTTTTCGTGTGGACAAATAAGAATATTTTCGCTAAGTCATAGGGTTCGTAATTATTTAATGTTGTGTCTTCAATTGTGGGTGCCAGGTCTGAAAGGGTTAACTATCGCTTTGAGAGTAAAGTGTAACGAACTTGTGCCGAAGATGAACTCGAAGATGACACTCGAGATCAAAGAAAAATATTTTATTTCCTGCAATCTCGGATGTAAGACACTTTAACGTTGTTCATCTCAAGAGGAATATTTCTACTGTCTAACAATTATTCTTTTTGTACTACGAAGAAGATTAATTTCTTTGATCAAAAGTAACAAACTGCAAGAAATACACTTTAAACTGATTCGAAGCTGTATCTCCTTCAACACCTAGAGCAAAAAGATCGAAGTGCTTGGGACAACGATGTCTCGACGCGATTTCAAAGTGGAAATAACTTTCGACACGGGAGTATCTAGCTCGTGAAGGAGGGAATCGGGCAAACAACAAATGCCATTGGCAAACGACAATTGGAATATCGAGACGGTTGGAAAATGACTCGTGACACACGAGAACGGTAAAGTCATGGCTTCTCTGGAGTGTAATTACGGAAAGTAGCTTTCCTCTTGAATCGTTAACTGAGCTTAAAATTAGTAAGTCGGAGTAGTTTACCAGTGACGCGATCCTCGACCAATCTGACGACGAAAGTTTCTTTCGATCGAGTGCGAAAGAATTCATATATTTTCAAAAGGGTGAAGGAAAAATCATATTCTCGAAGATATAAAATAATATCGGGTCTGGTAACCTTCATACGAGGTAAAATTTAGGAGATATCGATTTGGGGGAACGAGTAGAATTAGAAGATTAATTTTAGGAGAAAATTGAACCGAACGAGAAGATATTTAGGATAGAGAGTAACGATACGTCAAGGAATGTCAGGAGATGTATCCTCAGGCCGGAGACCGCGATCGATCGGAAGCTCATGGAATTGAATTTTCAGCGTTGCCAGCGGGTAGACACGGATGTATGGGTGAACTTCGAATTTTCGCGGCATCGAAATGGGAAATTTATGTCGCCCGTGCGCGTCAACGGCTATTTTATTTCCCAGACAAACAGCAATTGGTCGAAAAAAAGTATCGCGAATCGACGGGAGCTGGAAGTAACAAGTTTTCAAAAAATACGTACTTCGTAGTTTGATCTGAAGTTTAAATACACAAATTGTCGTGAAAATTGACTATCATTTTGCCATCAAAATATGTTAATGTTAATGTATGTGTGGGAAGATAGTAGCCCGAGTTTTATGGAAAATCCAGAGAGAAACTCTGCTCCAGCTCCGTACTAAAAATGTACATTTTACATGTTCGAACTGTTCCTAGCGAGTTTCAAGCGATCCAGTATCGAGAATTTCTTTGTTCACGCGTGTCGACTCGTTTAGTTCCTCGAATATTTCCAATACCATCCCGTCTCGTTCGATTCTCCCTTTCCCCGAGGAATTTTTACACGGAGAAGTCGCACAGCGTTCGCTATCACTGGTAGACACGCGCTACTAACAAGTACATACGTAAATATCACGTAAATATGTAGGCATAATCGTGTATGGTGCTAACAAAAAAAACCAAAGTAAATCATTCCATTTAAACGGCGATAACTTCGCGAGGAGAGTGATTGGTTCTAGCTGTAAAAATCGCGATCGGGTCGAAACTTTGCAGAAATAACTCACGACAGTATTAAGAAACTCGAACCGTTATTTTTATACGTTATATTGTTACGTTGGCCTCGAATATTTTATTATGTAAAAAGTGTACGTTGGCCTCGAATATTTTATTATGTAAAAAGTGTACGTTGCACTTTGCTAATGGCATAGTACGAAGGAGCGTGTATCGTGTTCGCAAAAGTGAATTTTGTGGTTGATGTTTCCAGAAGAGTTGTTATTTTTTACTGCAAATTTTTCTTCGTGTTGGAAGACAGAAAATATAACGTGACTGTAATTAATACGTAAATGCAGTTGAATTTTTTTTATTTCTATAAGAATTTGCAATAATATATGGTCTATTTTAACGTTTGAACGCTCCTCAAAAGGGACTAAACAAATCCATGAAATTCATTTCTTAACAAAGCAATTATTGGAGACGTTAGTTTAAGCGACTATTATATACCAATCATCACGCATAGTTGTATTGTTATTTATTTATTTCTGTGATAGTTTTTTTATAGTACAAAAGGTTCACATTCCTTTTGATCACCGAAAACTGTTGAGCAATACCTATTAGCGGTTGATAGAAATTGGCAGTGAATAGTGATAGGGGCAACTAGTAGTCACCATCGACTGTGGCAGTACACACAGGAGATCACTGTTAACCAAAGTTGACTAGTAATAGTTGTCACATAGTTGCCCTAATTACCGCTAGTAGTTAATAAGGCATATCGAAATCCATTAGTAGTCACTCTTATCTACTAGTAACGGCTGGTAGCTACCATTCGTTGCTACTAGGATATATTTGTCACCAGCTAGTAATACTAGCTACTACTAGAAGTCCACGGTGACTAGTACAAACTCTTAGGTGTCGTTAGTCGCTATACTTATTTATTGAAAGTTAGTTATATATTTATTAATAACTGTAACATTAAATTTATTATCGAAAGCAAACGGCGACTAATCGCCATGAGTACCAAAAGATAACTACTACATCTAAGTATCGCGAGCCTAAATGTAATTTAAAAAAAAAAGAATGTACCGAATCTGATATTTCTTTGCGTGAGAAAATTAAACCAAAAATGAAAACTCGTACCTTTCGAACATGACATCAAGATAATATATATATTCTCGAGATAACAAGTAGTCCTATTTTAATGAAACATTGAATACTATTAACAAAATGAACAAATTTAGTGTTCGACGGAAAATATTCTCGTTGTCCTCGAACAATTCGTTACGTTGCGACTGTCATTTTTCTTTTCGTACTTAGAGTCTATCGTGCACGTTACATAGCGGTAAATTGAATAATCATTGTTTGCGAGGCGATGTTTCTCTAAAGTTGCGACCCGGTGGAAAATTAAGCGTAGCATAAATTAATTGCGGTAATTGCCACACGCGTAGATTTTCAAAGCGTTGCCACCGCGAAGGAGCGCGCACCGTGGAAACAATATAAAACCTTTACGTGAATAGACGATAATGAATCTTGAACCAAACGCCAGGAAATTTATCAGCATTTGCCGTGATAATTACACAGTGTTGCGCCATTCGTTTAACCCTTCGTTTCCAGACACCAGGATTGCTCCAAAAATATTTTTCGAAAAACAATAGGGAACAATAACGTTATTATATACCACCAGACTTTTCTGTATATATACATGCATCCGAAGCATTTTTATTAATAAACCTGTGCCCCACTAATTTGTTTTATTGGGGCACAGTATTGTTATACATATTATTATATTGTTTCAAAAAACAATAGGGAACAATAACGTTATTATATACCACCAGACTCTTTTGTATATATACATGCATCCGAAGCATTTTTATTAATAAACTTGTGCCCCACTAATTTGTTTTATGTATGACGACACAAGTGACTTGGAAATTCTAGAGAAAAATAGTTTTCACTCGACAAAAGTGACTGGGTAATGGGAAAGTTTAATATCACTGAAACTTCCAGGTGAATTTTCTTTTCAATTTAATTGAAACCTCCGTTTTCAATCTCATTCTTAATTACTCGAGCGCGCCAAACGCTGCATCCCCATTGTTACTCCGAATTAGAGAGGTTTTACTTTATTTTAAATTTCCTTCGTTTAGCTCTCACACTCCCGTCCCCGTTTATACCAGATTAGCGAGGATTTTCTTCGTTTTCAGTTTCTTTAATTCACCCTGGCCCGTTTGCCAGTTTTCATCGCGCCCCTATTTTCATTTAATTCAGATTTCCGAGCTAAGTCGGATTGGCGAGGCGATACTAACGAAGTGGAATGCAGATTGTGGGAGGAAAAAGCTATTAATCGAGACGAAGGGTTAAATATGGCGGAATCATGGGAACAGGCCAAACTTGGGTCGACCTTACAGCCACTTCACCATGTACGCAACGTATATGTCTATAAAGAATTATTTAATTTTCAAGTTTCATTAATATTTAAACGTGATCAATGGAATGTCAGTAATGAAGTTCGAAAAAGAATGATGGACTCGAGGGAGGTTTTTCATAGTTCATGTTATACTTATTAAAATTCTAAGAATGTTCAGATGCTTGATAAATGCACAAAGTATCCGAATTAAATATTGAATATTTGAAGAAGGATTCGAGTCCAACACACACAAAAATTGGACAAATGAACCTAAACCTTGAAGTGGGAAAGTGGCTTAAGGTCGTTCGACTCGAAACTCAGCTGGCCTAATCCTCGCCTACGCTCATTGTTCGATCTCCTAACGAGGCAGCACCGTTTCGAACCAGGGAAGGAAGACGTATCACTAGCTAGACAATCCTAGACGTTTCTTATGCGAGCTGTTTGAATGTGACGTAAATCAAAAGTAATATTAAAGTGGTATGTTTATCGATAAAGTCCACGGCGAGAGCTATCTATCTAATTTTCACGGAGAAGACGACCCTCTTGCTGCCTGCAGAGGTTTCCAAGAGGCTCGAAGGGACGATGGAATTTATAATGAAGGAACCCTAAGCGAACGAACCACCGAACCGAGCATGCTTTGGAAATCGCTGCGTTAAATGTGTAATCGGATGTAAGGGTTTAGACGGGAATCGTCAAATGCTGGATGTTAATTCGTTCCTCGAGATTTCAAGTTGGATGTAATTTTTAAAGTACGAACGTTAAATCTGTCTATTAAAACAAATAATTGGAGAATACTTGCACAAACAAATCTTTGATCGATGTAATTTATTCGGGTGAAAATAAGGGACTGGAGGACTTGAAAAATGAATATTCTTTGGTTTTCATTTGTAACATCTCTGTGGTAGATAAGAAACCAAATAATCTACATTATTCAAGTCTCACCAAAAGTTGAACGACGGAAGAATCGAACGAGTTCGTCCTCTTTTCCACGAATCTAAAGTTAACTTACCCCAGATAAATTTTTCAAAAGGATTCACGGTTAACGAAGAGCAATAAGATAAAATAAAATAAAGCTGTCCTATCTTGAGCTCAACAAATCCCATGAGATAGGTTGATAAACGAAAAAGCAGCGAGAATAATATTAATCGTGGAAAACAATCGGAGTCCAGACATAATTGCGAAGTACTTTAAAGGTTAGTATCCTCTAATTTCCCTGTAACAGCGCTGTTCTCGCGGAAATTCATTGGAACAACGTCCTCGTTTGAAAACGTAGAAAGTACTGTCATAGAAGATATATTAAATATCATTGTTCCTCGATAGCTATTCAAGATAAGTCATTGCGACGTAACTATTTCGATGTAAATATGCTGCGATCAAATTGCCACGAATACGGTTCGATTTACAGCGTCAACGATCGCCAAAGACGATCGGGCGTTCGAATTGGATCCGGTTGTCTCGGCTTTTCTCGGACATCGTTAATGAATTACCGTGGATAATTAGCGAGTACCGTAAACGTGCGACAAAACGAGACGCGTGGTGTTGTCGTAGCTGATGATGTATTAGGATATAAAGTTAGAGTTTAAAGCGTTTGTAGGGCATCGTCTATGTAGAAACTCGGATCGTGAATCTCTATTGAATCTATGCTTTCGTGCGTAGTAGGGTGGGCCTTGGTGAAAAATTAAAAAATATTTGTTTTTTTACTAGGAGATTGATTACAATTTGAGATCGATGGGAATTTTATATATTACTTAATTACAGGTCTCTGAATTTTTCTTTTTTTGTGAAGAGTATTGCGGGAGAAAAATTATAATTACCTTTGTAAAAAAGGGGAGAAGGTACCAGTGGTGAGCTGAAAACCAGGAAGTGTCCAAGGATGGAAACATAAGCAACGACACGAGAAAAATTCGATGATCGCGAAATAAGGCCCACCCTGTTGCCTGAGCGTGAAGATTTGCCGATGAATAAAATCGACGTTACAGTATATGATCATTTCACGGACGTTTACATTATATCGTTTTACATTGTTGCATCGTTTGCAAAATCGGGCAAAATTCACGGGCAATGAGACGATTAGAAAAATACACCAGCACAGCTGCGAACCTTCAAAGCAAAGTGTTTTTAATGTTAAAGACAGTTTTTACTATTAAAGTGTCTATTACAGATTAACATAAAACAACTTTTCGTCAAATAAATTTAAACGTCGTCTAGAGTCGAATTTAACTCTTTACCAGAAAATTGAATCGCAATTTCAACAAATAAATCGGCTACTAATGTGCTAAGTAATAAAACAGTAAATAATAGAAATACTTGAAAATACTATGAAATAGTAGTACGAATAACCAAATTACACCGACCAATATCTAATTAATTTTAATCACGCTTTACTTCAAGGCTCGCACCGTGCACCCGCACGGAAGACAATCAGAGAGGTGAAATGATGCGAATTTAAGAATGACACGCCGTGCTTTTCCGCATTCCCAACGTATTCTCAATCGACGACGAAAGTGACTGAAGGTTTTGCCCGAGGTTCGAACGACGTTCTCGGTACGAACGGCACAATAGAAGAAGCACAAAGGTATAATTTTGTCACTGTGTATTTTTGATACTACGTCGACGACTTCGTTAGGTCCGCGTCGAAATGTAACGGACGGCAGACAGTCGAAACGTGATTTCAGTTTTTTCTTCGGTGTTCGCCAGGTGGACGGGATAAAACGTCATCGAAACGAGCGAAGCAAATTAAAGCGATTAATTACGACCGACGGGCGGCGGCCAGAAACGTTCTTATGTGAATGTAAAACTCTCGAAGCGCAACGTGATTATTCTCTGTACATAAAATAGAGCATAAACTTTTTATGTATGACCTCGTGCTCGTGTCGCGCCAGCGTGTACGCCGAGGCCGACGCGAGGATCTACGAATATTCTAAAATAAATATCGTCATGACTGAACGAAACCCTCTCGTCTCTCACCCTTGCGCACACCCTCATTTAGGATTCTATTAATTATTAAGGACATTCGTAGGTGTTGTAAAAAAATGCTTTGCAATTTTTAAATTAAATCAACCACTACTCCTTTGAATTTATAAGTATGTTCGGTATAAACTACCACCGATAGGAGCTGAATTTATGAAGTATAGATAGACTTCTATTCAATTGAAATCCTACACACGTGAATGCATTTTTACGAATAGAATTATGAATTATTTAAAGAAAGCGAATGGCTTTAGTAAATTTCAAACTCCTCCGCGAGAACAAAGCCTGAACAGCAAACAAAAAAGGTCCCTCGACCCATTTTCTTTCGAATTCCAGCACAAAAGTGTGATTTAGTACTCGACAATGTGAGACGTTTACTCATACTTCGTTAAAACAACCTTTGTACACCTCGTTAAACGGAAGAGGGTGAGGTTGTACGCTGTAAAACAAATGCCAAGCAAAATTCTCCCCTTTAGAATACTTTCCGAAGCATCAAATGGTGTTAAGTGCATACTAAAGAATTAACGAGAACAAGAACTTTCACTGGAGACTCTCTTTCAATATTTACATGGCCATCAGTTTCGCGAAAGCACTGCTCTTCTCGCAGTCAGGTGTAAAAAAAAATGGATCAAGAGGAATAAAAGATTGAAGCGTGAAAGCAGTGCCTTTACACCCCCATTTTACGTTTTGAAAGTGAATTGTTTATAATGTTGTCAGAAAGTCCTGTATTCACTATTGAAATATCATGAAATTTGACTTAACTTTAAATAAATACAATGTACATATTTCTACAATAATTTTACTTGAATAGACAATCGGAGAGGGCTGATAACAAATCCTCCCTTTATTCTTGTGTCATTTTAAAAACAAGTCTTAAGAGAAGGCATCAATAACAAAGTAACAAAGATGGATTTATAAACTCCATTCATTTAGTTTGCCAAATAACGTTTAAGATCGTAATTTAAACAAACAAATTGTTGACGAGGCTCTGCGCTTCAGCACGACTACAATATATTAGTTAATAAGTCAAATTTATCATTTTTATGAATAGAAATTTAATAAATGAATTTAGTGAACAGAAATTTGTGATCCTAGGTATATATTATTATTAATTATTTATTTATTATAGGAATTATTACCGACCTTTTGATTAGTGGCGCCATCGGCGGGAAAACGCTCAAGTTTGTCGTGAAGCTAGTTGAAACTGTTCCCGCTAGATGGCGTATGATTTAGTTTTAGTGGCGCCATCAGTGGGAAAATGTCCAAGTTTGTAGTGAAAATAGTTATCACTCTTTCTGTAAGATGGCACCACTGATACCTTTTAATAAATTATTCTTTAATTTTTTATAAATAAGTAATTATTACGACTCTTTTGCTTTATAACACTGCACTATATTATTTCTACAAGTCAAATTTATCATTTTTATATTTTCACGATAAACTTGGGCGTTTTCCCACCGATGGCGCCATTTTTAGTATGCTTCAGTTGGCTTCAGTCATCAGCTGTTATCAGGAAGTGATCTTGTGATTGTTATATTTGTGAGCGAAACATTTATAATTTCACCCGCATTACATGTACATTTCCATTCATAAGAGGTAATTTTTTATATTTCACAATCAGTTATTATAAAAGGTTCATAATGTATGATTAAATAGTCTAAACCTGTATAGATATATTATGTTGAGGTTATGTATTTGTGTTATTCTTCTAGCTTTACAGTCTTCTAAAATAAAAATGATAAGATAAGAGAGCACAGGAAACCAAGAAGAATGTATCACATTTATTAGTGGAATTGGAGATATTTTCATAGTATAGTAATCCCATAGCAATGCACAAACTACGTAAAAAAGTTTTTAGGTTTGCAATAGTTAGTAGGATAACAGTTTTGGTTTTACAATTCATGTTTAATCTTCTATGCCCTGATCATCATGCAGATGCATTTAGGAGTCCTATTGATAGTTCTGAAAGTGTTTCATTATTTGATAATGTAGTTACATATTTATTTGGTGGTCTCACACGGTGGGATGGTGAATACTTCATTCATATTGCCAAATATGGTTATACATATGAAAATACTTTGGCATTTTATCCATTATATCCCTTATTAATTCGAATTATTGCTACTTTTATAAGAAAGGTATTCTTTATTTTCAATACTCACAGTTCTGTAATCATAGCAGCCATATTGATTAATATCATATGTTTTATAAAATCCACTATTATATTTTATGATCTTAGTAAAATAATATTAAGAAAGACACATCTAGCTTACAAAGCAGCAATACTTTATTGCATAAATCCAGCTACCATATTTTTTTCTGCTGTTTACTCAGAGTCTTTGTTTGCTTATTTAACTTATTACAGTATGTTGAAATCTATTCAATTAAATCCACTTGTGTCCTTTCCAATAGCATTATCTATTCTTACAAGATCAAATGGTATGGTTAATATTGGTTTTCCTATATATTTTGGTCTAAAAGAATTATGTCATAGTTTTTCAACAAAGTATGATCATTTTTCAGTGAAGGCACTAGGTCAATTTTTATTTCTAAAAAGTACTTTAAAGAGTGTTTTATTAATGTGTAACATACTAATTATATCAGTAGCTCCATTTATTTTATTGCAAATATATAATTACATTATATTTTGTATTCCACATTCTAATCAAACATTTATTCCACAACATATTGAGGCTCATAGCAGAATAAATAATTTAGTATTACCAGGTAGTGATAATGTTGAATGGTGTCATGCTAAAATTCCAATAGCATATTCATACATACAAAAGAAATATTGGAATATAGGCTTGTTCAATTACTATGAACTGAAGCAAATACCAAACTTTATTCTAGCATTTCCAGTATTGAGTATTATGATTACATGTATTAAAGAATACTTTTTTGAGCACAGAAAATATTCTTGTGCATTAGGATTTGTTAAAAATGCTGTTGGTAAAGAACTTGTTAAAACACAGAAATATCCAGCTGAAATGTTAGTGTTCATTATTCATGGGTTATTCTTGACAATATTTTGTATTTTTTTCGTGCATATTCAAGTAAGCACGCGTTTAATAAGTTCGGCAAGTCCGTTAATATATTGGTATTGTACTTTAACTATGCAACACGTATCTCGCGATAATGATGACACGGCATATGAAAGCGAGAAAAACATGTTTTTTTTTATTCCAAAGACATATTCTTTTAAAGATAAGGTTATCTTATCCTACTTTCTAGGATATATAGTCTTAGGTTGTTTTATGTTTCCAAATTTTTTACCATGGACATGATTTATATGTACATTATATGAATAATAAATATCTATTCAAATGTAAAATTTATATATTTTGCAATAAGGAATACAATTTAATGTAAACAGTTGTAATACAATAATAAAAGATAAGTAATAAAATGTTTATATAATTAACTCATTAAAATATAAAATACATTTTTTATATACAAATTTTTAATTAAGACTATGCTTGGTACGAAAGAGATTATTTTACATGTGTTTTCTTATGTTTAAGTATTTCAATTGGTGTCAGGTATAATGTTTGCGCACAATCGGGACATTCGTATGCTTGGGCGTTAGGTTTCCGCTTCACGCTTTCGGGATGTTTTTCAATCTCCTTTGTATGTTGTTGTTTACACGATTCTTGATGCTGTAACTTTTCTATGCTAGTAAGAATTGCTTGCATGTTACAGTTTTGACAATTCCATTCCGTTTCCGACATTTCGATAAAAAGTTTATCGCTCCATTCCGTTTCTCTCAAGCTACAAAAAAGAAATTGTAATTGTTATATTTTATGATTTGCAATATGTTTGTATTAGAAATGTAACTAGGAATGATTTTACCAATTATATGTAATTATGTTTGTTACACGGACTCCTCCTTTAGTTGGGTTAGGGATCACCGTAAAATCAGGTTGAAAAGGATTTGGATCTATGGATGTATCATTTTCTTTACATCCCAAGTACATGTTCTTAAGATCAGCGGGTAAAAGTCGCTTTATTGTATATGGAATTGTGGTGTGCATGTATTCAATTAATTCTTTAGTAAGCGTGTATTCGATTTCGCTAAAATCTTGTTTCTCATTGTTGCCACTATTGGAATCTGAATAATATTTATAGTATTTAATAACATTGACGAACCATTTTAAAACATTAAAAAAAATGTTTTAACACCTTGTAATTGTTGATTTAATAAAAACTCCCACTTATTTCGTAATTTGTTAGCTTTCATCAATAAAGTTTGACCACTGTCGGGTATAGGAAATTCTAACGCTAACCACGAATCGCATACTATTCTGCAAAATAAAAAAAATATTCATACAAGTAAAATTGAATATTACATATATATTATATATACTTACATCGAAAATGTACTATTTGTGTCAATTTCACGTGCAAATAAAAGTAATGTTTGCGAAGCGGGCATTCTAAGTGTATTTACTAAGTAAGGTTTTGTCGTTTCCAGAAGAGATCTATTAATTAAAACAAAGTCAGTATATATAATCAGTTAGGCTAACAATTAAGTACTAATTTCAAATATCATTGGAGGACTTACAAATATGTTAATATGGTATGTTTTGAACTAACGGGACCTTTGCTTTTAAATCCTGGTATTGATACAATATCAGGTTCCTCCAATTGTAATACTTGTGGATGATTCCCGAAAAAACTCATTGGATGTAAGGCAATATATGGTTTTGCTTTTGTATGAAATAATTGCTCACTTGTTGACTGTAACATTTTATATTATATATCGGTAAACGATAGATTTAATATATATCCATAATAATATTACCTTGCAATAATTGAATTCATCAGCACATGCAAATTGCGGGTATAAACCGCTACATAATATTATTTTCAACATCGTCAAGTCTTTGTAACTACATGCAGTGGCTGCTGTCAAAAGACTTTGAACTTGGTTTGGATCATTTCTCATTCGAAATTCAACATCTTTTATGTCGATTTCACCATCGTCGCGATCGTCATCATCTATCTGTATATCGAACGATTCTACCTTTAATTGTTTTCGTTTTCTAGGTGCGCTTTGTTTATAGGTTCTTTTTAAGGATTTCAGAAGCTTTAATTCCCCATGTCTTATAGCGCGTTCTGCACTAGTCATGGATGAATCTGGCCCTGGAAGACTTTTTAATAAACTGCAATCCTATAAATTGTAAACAATTATTTGTGTTGAACAATTAATTTTTTCGATGTTAGAGAGATTTTCGTTAACCTGAAGCAACTCTTTAAATTGAGTCCTCAATTTTGTCATTTCGTAAAATCTTTGTTCTTCTAAACCTCTTCTTTTACACCATTTTCTACTGCTACTTCCGCTACCCCTAGATTCTTGTGAACTTTGTTGTTTTACTTCTAACCATTCTTTAAACGCGTTCAGTAGCGTTATTGGATCGCCATGATCAGATTCCAACTTTTTTCGCGATGTCTTTACAACATTTAATCAATATGTTATAAATGAAATTTGAAAGAATTTTAATTTAGAGGTCATGTTATATTACCTCACACTCTGAATCTCTGTATGCTCTATTCGTAAATGGCGTTTGTATACTTAAAGCAGCAGCTAGCGATAATACTGGTTCTACCTGATGAAAAATTGAACCCATTATTAACATTTTCCCAATTGTTATATCAACCGGAAGACGTGAAAGTGTTTTTCCAATGCTTGTTATTTTTTCATTGTCAGTGAGTGCACCCTGAAAGGAAGAACGCCAATTATTTTACTTGATTTGATATTTGATAAGAATTTAATGAAAGTATACTAACGTGATCTTTTAAAGATAATATAGAATTTTCTATGCTTTCTGCGGGTGGTGGTTCTATAAATGGAAATTTCCGTGTATCTGGAAGTCCCATTGCTATCATTTGTAATAGTAAAGAATCTAAAGGTACACGTTGTAATTCCGGCGTTGAGTACTTTTCTAAAGCCTTGTATTCTTCTTCTGAGTACAACCTGTTACAAAGTATTTATGTTCTATTTTAAATTACTATTATACCAAATTAAGAAGCGTGTAATTTATTATAATACCTATAGCATACACCAGGCCCGGTTCGACCAGCTCTTCCTTTCCGTTGCTCGGCACTGGCTTTACTAATCCAAAATTCCTTAAGTCGTTGCATTTTACACGACGGATCGTAACTCATTTCTTTTACTTTGCCGCTATCAGCAACAAATCTGATTCCATCAATCGTAATAGAAGTTTCGGCAATATTAGTAGATACAATGCATTTTCTTACTCCATCGGGAGCATAATCAAATACCTTTAAAAAGGGGATAAATTTTTAATAACTAATACATGCTTTTTGAAATACTAGTATATATTCACGAAATTTTACTTTATCTTGTTCGCTAATGGATAAAGTGCTATGAAGTGGTAGAACAATCCAATTATTTTTTTTTTGGCTGTATTCCTTAGCTGCATCTACGACTGCGGTAATTTCACTCATTCCGCTTAAAAATATTAATAAATCGCCTTTTTCATCCACTAAAAAAATGTATTGTTAGCATAATACAATCGGAAATAAAATTGTATATATATATATAATATCCTTTACCTGGATATTTTTTATCAATTAATTGCATTATTTGTATATAAGGGCTTGGATTGAATCTGTCATTTTTATATCTAATATCTTCTATTGTGACTGGTCTGTATAATAACTGAATTGGATACAATCTTCCAGGAACCTAAGTGCATAAACAAATTACACATAGGTCGTGATTATTTATTACTAAAATTAGTTTTGAATGATTGTAAACATACCTGTATTACTCTAACATCTTCTTTGGCAAAATAATTGCTAAACAGTTCAATGTTAATAGTGGCAGACATAAGTACTAATTTTAAATCATGTCTTTGATTAATAACACACTTCATGATGCCAAGAAGGAAATCTCCATGTAAATGACGTTCATGAACTTCATCCAAAACAACCACATCATAAGGCAACAATTCAGATTCTCCAGATAACTGCCTTAACAGCAGACCTTCTGTTATGAAGGTAATTTTAGTGTCTTGATTTCTTTGTTTCTCAAAGCGAATTTGGTAACCAACATCTGTACGGTTCTCTGTCAGTGTTTCAAAAGCAACACGTTTAGCTAAAGATATACATGCTATTCTTCTGGGTTGTGTACATGCTACAAAAAATGATTTATTAATGGAATAAATAAAGTTTATAAAAGGACTAAGAATAAAATAATTGTACTTACCAATTTTTTGAAAACCTGCTCCATATAGATATTGAGGCACTTGAGTGGATTTTCCACAACCAGTATCACCAGCTATAATAACTACTCTTTCTTTTTTTATTGCTTCAATTATCTCATGTTTGTATTGATTAACTGGTAAATTTGCTTGGGATTCTCTGAGCTTTTTCAATTTTGTAAATTTTTCTTTTTGTTTAAAATCCAAGTACAAAACAATTATGCTTTGAAATTTTAATAAGTTCTGTTTTGTTAAGATTTCAACAGATGGAACACGTGCAAATAATTCATTAAAACTGAGACTCAGTTTAAAATTTATGCAATGTGATTTGTGATACTCTTGTGGTACACCAATGGTGTTCAAAGAAAAATTAGGCGAGGCATCAGGAGTATTTAATTTCTTTTGCAAAGCTTCATATTTACTGACAAATTTCCAGAAATCTTCAGTGTCTTGTACTACATTTGAATGTCCCGAAAATGTTTTATTTAACTCGTACTTGTATTTGCTAAAAGAAATGTTCTCGTAATCTCTATCAGATTTATGATAGGTGTCTCTTTTTCGTTTATCATCATAGTGATAACTCATGTTTTGGAAGTAAAATATATCGAAATATATTCATAACATAACCTTAGGGATATTTTTATGACGATTTGCCGTGATATTCTTACATGATACAGTATTAGTACCACTTTTTATTTATTACATATTTATTGCTACGTTCGTTTACTAAGTTCTATTAAAGTCTATTATATTTTTTACAGTACAAAATACCGTGATGACCTTATACCTAACCTTTTTACAGTAACATAATATGAGGCAATTTGTTCTTGTATTAATTTTTAATTATTATTGAGTTTTTAAAAACAATTGCAATAAATCGTCCCAAAATTGAGATGAGACAAAGAAGACAATAGTTAATGTATTGTTTATTTTGACAGCTCAATAAGTCCAGTTTACAACATCACGTGTTGCTTGAGGGGGGGGGACATTATTTTCAAAGCGCCTCTGTTGGGAAAACGCTCAAGTTTGTTCTGAATAGTTCATTTTTCAATGCTGGATAACATCGTTTACATTGTGTTTTACCGACATTATGGTAATATACCGATTATGTCGGTAAAAAAGAGCGCAAGTGGCGCCATCTAGCAGTGAAAAAAGGAACTGTTGAGGACAAACTTGAGCGTTTTCCCGAGAGAGGCGCTGACCAAACTCCGAAAATTAGTTCGACCTTTTCACCGCTAGATGGGTATCGAGTCGATTGACAAAAACCCGCGAAATTATGAATTGTCTTTTATATTATCAGTTCATTTATGTGTACGGAATACTTTTACAAAGATGTTATTTAAGTTCTGATTAAGGAGTATCATCGTGAAGGTAATTACTCAATAGTTTAGTAAAACGGGGTTAAATTTGAAATGCAATTCAAGCACGAATTCATACATGGTGAATTCATTGTAAATTTAAAATCGTCTTCCAGAGTTGATCAACTTTTGAAAGAATTGGTATTTTTAATAAAAAAATTCAATGTTTAATTAAGAGTGCTTTAGAGAGTAATGTATTAGAGTAGTATAGACATATCGTTCACTGTTCTAATTACAAATTGTCTTACCTTTATCTTAACTGCGATTGTGGGTTTTTATTCCGTGTAATGTTATAATAATTGATGAGAAGGATAGAGAGAGAGGTGATAAGTATAAATAATATGAATTATTATTCCTTAGCTTTGTATAATATATGTATATGTACTGTGTTATCATGTTGCATGCTGTTATAAAATATATGGAATACGTATGACATTACGACGTTTGATTAGTACTGAAAATATTTGGTATTATGCTCATTTATTTATTTCAAGTTAATAACTGTGTTACAAAATATAATTCATTCTGGGACTTCCATCTTTAAGTATTTTAACATTTTTTTCTTACATGTATGAAGAGATAATAACTATGTTAATAGATAATACAAACTTATCAATGGATCAATATAAATTGTCAATATATCCATGATATTTACATGCAAACTATAATTGTCCATATATACATATAACGTAAATAGCACCAAATAGGAATGAAAGTTGTAGGCGGTTCAGTTGACGACTTATGTTGTAAAAAAAAAAAATTTATAAATTCGTAGAGTTCATGGTAGGGTATCACAGCAGATCGAATTCTATACCAGGGGAATCTTTTCACTGTTGCCGATATAAATATATTGTTTACGTAATTGTCTCGATCGTTAAATAATTTCCCCTGTGACAACGAATGCATGTCTGTGATTAACGACAAACCGAAGAGAAAGATTAAGTGGAGAAACAATAAAGCGAAGTGAAGGTAGTTAGAAATAAAGATTATTATTACAAATATTTACAATTAGTGTATGTAAGTAAGATCGGGTTGATCTATGCACAATAAAACATTTAGAAATTATACATAAATGCTAATTATCCTCTTTTACAACATGATCGTTGCGACACAAATTTAAAAAATATTTTTTTTACTTTCACGCTATTACACTATAGCTTAACCTTAACACATATTACCTGTTATATTTGTAGATTAAAATACCTTGCACGTTCAGAAAAATTTTGATTTGTCTTGGAACAATGTGTATACACTTAGCAGAACGGAAATGGCACTCTGATTCACGGTGAACTGAAATAAATTTCTTCCGTTTTCATAAAACCACACGCTTTCGTACGTTCACAATTTATCATGAACACATTTGTGGAATGTTTTTCGTTAACTTGAATGCGGTGTATGAAGTTGCTAGACGTCGTCGTATCATGCACGTCGCGAGAGAAAGACAACGTAATACATCTTCCTTGAATGCGTTCTCGTCTCACCCAGCAAATTTAAATCGTTAAATTTGGCAGAGAGAAGGCTCGATTATCGAAAGTAGTATACACCTTCGAGGATTTTAAGGTGAATAACGAAAATCTGTGTTTCATTCAAGTTTTCATATTCCATCCATATCTTCATTGGTACCCTTCTTATTTTAATCGAAATTCGTTTATTATTTCAGAAAGGAAATCCTTCGAGAAAGGATGCGATGTTAATTATAGGAAACGAAAACATGTTTAAACAGGTGTACATATTTAGTCGATTTTACATTTCCAAATACGCATGTGGCCATAATTTGTTCATAGATGTGGTCGCGACACCGGCGGATTCTCCGGTGTAATTAAAATTTACATTGTTCGCGATTACAATAGTCGCGTTCTAATCTTGGCAAAATTTTTTATTCGGTTAATAAGATTATTAATTCGTTCTCGATGCGTTGCATTGTACATTAAAAGAATAGAGGGAAGTGGTAATAGTAGCCCGTACAATTCCTCGCCGCTTTTAGCGCTGGATAGGTGACGTATTAGATCCCTTACGATTACGAATTACTTATGAAACTCAAGACTAGCATTGATCAATGGCCTCCTCTTCAAGCTCGGGAGGATTTCTTGCTCTTCAGCTTGAACCATCCCGCGCTTTTGTTCGGATCGCGTGGAACAGACGTGGACCTGCTTAGTTCTGGTTTCAAATTTACGCCCCGTGACTTGGTGGCCAAAGATTCCGTGGAAACGGTTCTGTCCACCTTCTGTTTGTCCTTCGATTTCAGCGTACTGCGATTGATCGTGCCTGGAAATTTGTTTATAGAGTAGTTACAAACGATCGAGAAGTTCTAGTGCTTCGTTGTGTGCAGAAACAATGGATTGACTTGGAAACGTTGGTAGTTAGGAAGGAAGGGAGTAAGTAGCAAGGGAAGTGCATCAAAAGTGCATCAAGTCCTTTCAAATGGAGGTGACGTTAATCTTGTGTTATTCAGCATGTGTAAATTTCTGATTAATTATTGCCAGGCTCCTTATTAGTCATATCAAGAGGAAGTTTTATCGAATGAATAGAAGATAACAGTTTACCGGTTTTCGAGATATTGTCCTTGCTTCGTCGAGCGTCTTTTCCCCGACGACTTAGTGTCTCGCGACTTCTTTGTCTGCGCCTCATGGTCGCCATTGGCTTCGGGTGCAGTTGCTGGTCGTAATTTATTTCGAAGGGTTCCCTGTAGTGTCTCGGCTTCCACGGCGCGAGAACGCTCACGCTCCTCGATACTGTTCTCGTGTGCGATTGTAGGGGTCGGTTTAATTCCTCCCTGCTCGCCGCTCTGCGTCTTTCATTGGGTCCAGGTATCTCGCCCACTAGGGGGAAGAAAATGATAACGTTCAGGATTCACAGTTAGGCTATGACAGTTGAGCGAGGCAGACCCGTATATGGTCAATGCTTTACAAGCTCAGGAATGAAGAAACTTATTCTCCAATTTTCTATAAGAACATATTTCACACAAGTGGACAAATCTAATTAACGCTTTTCACTGAAGAACTAAAAGAATTAATTTTGAAAATTAAGTGTCAAAGAAAATTAATTTGAATGAAATTTAATCACAGTAGAAATTTTCAAGAGTATTAGTCTGGCAGTCAACGTGTTAAACGGACGTGGCTGACCACTGGCTCGGACTCGACAGACTTCAAAGGACTCACCCGTAGCAGCGTGGAGGTATACGACGGATCTCTGCGACCTCTGAGAGTTTTGGCTCTGCTGGCTGCTGTCACCTGTCGTACTTTCACCGGAAGACAACGCGCTCTCGGCCAGTCTCGGTGGTTTCCGTGGTGGCGACAGAATGCCCAAATTGTGGCGGCTGGAGTTCGTAACATCACGCCCTGAGCAGGCGTGGTCGTCGGCTCGTTTGTTTCTGGAACATAGAATTAAGCACGCATCGAGATACTGAACGTTCAACGTAGATTTCCGTTGCATCGCGAAGGGTAACGAGTACTTCAGCTCACCTGCGATCTCTATTGGACGAAACGGACTCCTGATCCGTGTCACCGAAGAAACGTAGGTTCTTCTGCACGGAGACTCGTTCAGGCGCGGACGAGGCTTCCTCGTCTTCGGTGCCAGTCGTCAAGATCTCGCTCTCCGGTATCCTGGGCTTCTTGTCCACCGCCTGCAACAACGAAATCGTCGATTATCGTAACGAATCAAGAAAACACATTTGCCATTAGCTTTGGCTCCCCAAATTCCATTTTATCTCGGTGTCCACGAAGATACAACGCTCTTCTCGAAGATGGAAACGACGATAGTGACGGAGAACAGGACCTGTATCGCGGTCGTCATCGATGGATCGAACTTGAGCGCGAGGAGGATGCGGCGTTACACGAAATACATAGGATAAAGCCGAGCACAAAGGTGTATTCTTCGCGCGCTGGAGAAAAATGGTTGGTTCCCGCTCGTTTCCATCCGTGGCGCCTTCATGAGTCATGATCCACCTCCACGGAACGTAAGACTCGTCCGATAGATCATCGTCCACAGCGAGATTCACGCGCACGCAATCATCCCGAACGGCCTCTATCGAAGTGGCTAGGATCGGAATCGGTGCCCTGGACAGAGATTATTCCGCGGGCCGATGGTTAGGCTAGCCCCCTGGATCGGCACTTAATCTCCCGATTAAATTAAACCACAGAGCGCGGAGTTAGTTAAGCATTTAATCAAACTGGTAATTGGAGGTTGTACTAGCCTAATGGCTCCCCTCCGTAGCGACCCGCGCTGACTGATGAATGCACTGGCTCACTCGGCTCGCCGCGTACACGAGATCCATTCTTCCGCTCGTTATCGGACGCGGCTCTACGAAAATCTACTACTTCCGATTTTTCGACCTTTCGATATCCCCCTTTTCGACGGAGGTATCCCGAAACTTTTTGTTTCGTGAAGTCAATCTATTTGTGCAACGAACGGCTTAAACATGCGTAATACAAAGTGGAGTAGCATAGATCGTGCGAACGTCGTCTGATCGTGGGAATAATTCTCTGAAATAAAATTCTTTCGCTAGGGGAAGGAGCGACCATTTTTAGCGAGGGTTCAGTTTTTGTTCAAACCGTATCGCGTCACCGTGGAGGCGTTTATCGTAGTATTATGCGCGGAAGAAACTTTCAAAGTCCGTTCGCTACAAAAACATCGCCCACTCGCTACCAGTTTCGAAGTAGTCGACAGCCTCTACGTTTGCTGAATTTGATTGCTTCAGAGAACCGTTCTCCGACTGAATGATGTCACGAACGAAAATACCTCGCGTCGCGTGCCTTAAACATTGAACGTTCTGGTGGTTTCTGTAAAATGGCATTGCGTAGCGATGCGACGAATTTGATTGCATACTCTCGTGGCACCTGCATCGATATACAGTCAGTCCTAGAAATATTCGTGGCCTCTGTGTTTATCGAAGAAGTTTGTCTGAATTAAATGACAATTATGTACATATTTATTGTAAAACATTTATTTGATTACGTCAAATTCATTATTTAGTTTAATAGAATTTCTTCAATAGACATAGAAGGTACGAATATATATGGAACTGGCTATAGGTGAAATGTGTTGAGTATTGGAAGAGAAGGAAGCTCCAAGAAGAGGGTGTAGTTAATCCAGCACCGCATTATACATTGGATACAAGAATAATAATTATAAATATAGATATCAGAGGGGAGTCTCGACTTACTTTCATGTTGGACTTGTTCTTCCTAGACAAAGACTTGAACCAGCCCTTTCTCTCGGCTTCTTGGCCCTGATTCTCCCTGGTAAGGGTGTTAGTCGACTCGCAGAAGGTGTCCTCGTCTCGGGTGAGCGTGCCCGTGGATCTGGACAGCCTCGTCGGCCTGGGAGGACTTGGACTGCCGCTGGGAGTGGATAGGCGTCTGCGTTGGCCGTACTCGTCCTGCAAAAATAAGAAAAATATATAAGATGTCACGCTGACGAAACTAAGAATTTCGCTGAAGAACGTGAAAAGTGTTGCCTTTGTTAAAGATAACAATTGCATTTCTACCGTGTCACTTTGTAAACTAAACCTCGCGATGCTTTTGTATAACATCAGACAAAGTGAAAAAAAGCAAAGTGCCGAAATATCAAAGTTGCTCTGGCATGATCAACGATTCAAACGAAGAGCAAAACATTAAGATCTTCGATGAAGCTTGCCGAGGAACAAACGGGGACTCATTGCCGAGGTAATCCGATCGGAGGTGAATCACGTGGGTGGTATAACTTGATTCGAGCATTGGTAGCTGGAGGGTTCGGTTCTTTCGTTCCTTCCAATTATTCCGTTGCCCAAAGTCGCGGGGGAGGGAAATTAGATAGAGATAATGACGGTTCCCGCGACCAGCTACAGGGGGATCATCCCGAGTCCCGATCATCGTTTCCATTCCGCTAGCAGGAGAGAGATCATCGCGTCGAGCCGTGCGCAAAGCTCTGAGGAACGGCGGGACGCGGGCAGACGCGTGTCCGTTTTATTCCCGGCGACGTCTACGTCGTCATTATTATTATCATGTTTTGCATCACCACCATCATCAACGCTGCCACCTCCGTCATTTACCCTTGGTCCCTCGCATGCATAACACGCCGGGAACGGAGGGCTTCGGGCGTTTTATCGCAACTCTGCCTGTTTATTCATCGATACTCCACAAAAGAGCCGGCGGTACGGCAAGTAGGCTAGCCAACGTGTGCTCTATCCGTGTTCCCGCTTTAAGAAAATGCTAGTCCTTGCGGAGGAGCATAATCCCCGCTGGGAACGGCCTTTTTTCTCCCTCGAACGGTCGAGGCCTTGCTGAATCGTGTTCGATTCCAGTCGATATTAATTGGACCACTTCGATATCTTCGACTATGACACAGAAAGCGCACCTTATCTGTATTTATAATGTGATCGGAGTAATTTTGGATTGGAGTGACACACACACACACACGCGCGCGCGCGTAAAGACGCTGCGCATATAAGTACAATGGTGAAATTAAGATGAACGTAATTCTTTGTACAAATTGGAGTGACACGGAACTATGATAATCTACGACGGACTTTCGTGGGTAACAACGCAGTGACGTGAGCCTAATTTGTGCTTTGGTTAATGCATGGGTGATATCAGTGTTATTTGACCTCCGAAGAAGCTGTAATGCCAGTGAGACGTCATTTTGATCGCAAGTTTTAAGAGAAATCCACGCTGCCCTCTGTTTCGCTTCGCATCTCAAGAAATACGTGACTCCTATACGCGCAGCATTCATTAAATTTTTCGAAATCTAACATCGCTCGTTGTTGAACCTTTTCATCGCAAACTCCGACTATCGAAAGCGCCATCTTTCGAAGCGTTCGCAAGCAACGCGTACCTCCGCAACCCTGTCGTCCATCTACGCCAACCTACGGGGAACCTATCGCTAGCCCAGCGCGTACATATCCTTTTCTGGTATAATTTCCTGTAAGGAGAAGAATTGGCAGTTGGAAAAAATCCTCGCCAGAGGGAAGCGAGCCGCGGCGATTCACGAGGAGGAGGAAGCTGGTAATCCAACAATATAAAAGCATAACTCAGGGGTTGTTCGGGTACGTTCCGACGGAGAGGCCTAAAGACGCTGCGCATCCGGCAATACACCTGCACTCGTTATATATTCCAGCAGAAGGGGCCACGCGGTGTTCGCGGCGCGGACGGCGCGAAGGACCGCGAGCTACGATCATGCGAGCCGGCGTATGCGTTACCAGCGGACCTTTCGATACGCAATATAATAACATATCGCGCGTACGCGGCCGTGGCCCGTACCCACCGCATAAACTCTTAAATGACTCACAATGAATAGCCCATATCGCGGAATCATCTGCATAGTACAAGCACGGCGCGCTTCCCTCGTACTCTCCATATATACGAGCAACAATATCCCGTATGCTTTCCATAACGAGTCGTGGCACGTACCGACGACGACGACGAAGGAGACGACGAGGATACGCGGGACGACGACGACGACAACGACGACGCCCGTGGAAGAAAAGGAGAAAGAGGACTCGGAGCAGGGGGGCTTCTCCGGTACCCTGGAGGCATTGTGACCCACGCACCGCCCTGTTAACTCTTACAGCACACCGCGGCACTGGTCTTCCTCCTCTACCGTTTTCTTTCCCTCTCAGTTCATTCTTCTTTTCCCTTCGGCCCTCATCGCACGGCTTCGTCCAGGCACATACGCGTTGCACGCGGCTACTCCCTCGCAGAGACGTGGGCCGCCGAGATTGGGCTAGGTCGGTTACGTTCCTAAGCGCAACTCGGCCGCAATCGGGCGCGTGCACACGCGTGCTGCCCGACGCTCGCGCGACGTCCCACTTCTCCATCCCCCACCAGCGCCATGGGGATCCTCGCGTGTGCACTCTTCCGTGTACAGGGTGGTCTCGATTGCTCCCAAATTCTGGTTACAGAACCTCGGTTATGCGGAGAAAATCATGCTTAGACTCGAATGCACGAACTCGTGGCTGAGCCCAGCAGCCTCCAACCTCCTGTACCTGAGCCTAGAAACTTCTAGCCCTTCGTAGCTGAGCCTAGTTTCTTCTACCCCTTTATTTGCACCGAATCCCAGATATTCGACAACCTACGATTTCTTAGAGACGCGATTTCCACAGCCACCTCTCTGCATACAAAAAGAACCAAACATTCTTTTCTTCTTCTATCGTTGCCGATACGAAGTTTGCGAGGTACCTGGCGGCCAATAATGGCGCGAACACCCTGTATGCATATTTAAGCGTGTATCGTAACAGGCCGCGGCGCTCTCGCCCTGTTCATCCTCGACGCATAACTCTGCAACATTAAACCGTCCGCCGTAGGTCAGCGTAGATTACGCATAAATCCAGGGGAGAGGCGATTTACGACGTCAACCGACACCCCTTTCAACCCCGCGGATTTTCTCCTCCTTTGTCCGGCCAAGCTTTTTGGCGGGAAGAAGAAGGAACCCATTAATGCGCCCGACTGACAAAAACAAATACAACTAGGAGAGAACTTGCGAGCAGGTTAATTGATTACTTTTATCGGGAAACTAGTCATTTCATGACCATTCGAATTGTGAATCATCGTGTTTCGGCCGAGAATAGTTTCGGATTCGAAACTACTCTGTAGTTTCTGATCACTGTTTCTTTTTTCTTTTTTTAACTGTATTAATTATTAGAGAAATCATTGTCTCGCCCTGCCCTACCAGTTGCGAATTATATTTAAAAGCATGGTGTCATACATGTCAGGAACGAAACGCATACGTTCAGGAAAGGCAGTTACTCCTAGCCTTTAATTGACTTACAAATTATCTTTATTTAATTCTTGGACACGAGTAATTTACTCTTGTGGTCGCCTGTTAGTCGTAAACACTCGAGCTCCAACTTTCTATTCGGACTGCCACACTCCCTTTACATTTCCAGTTTCAAACCTTGGGAACGTACCATATTTACATCAAAATGCCCCAACAAGCTAGGTTGTTGCAGAAGCTACGCGTAAAATCCCCGATAATCGTCTTTTCCCGCACACGGGCGAGAACTGGCCCCGAGCGCCGCGGGTCTTCCGATATTTACCCGCAGACTATGTTTCGCATGCACCCGGTACTAATACGGTAAGATCGACATTAACATCTGCGAGATTCTCATCATCGATAACACGCAACGAAGTGGTGCTGGAAATCGCCGCGTAAATCCTCCCAATTAAGCTCCTTCCCACCCTTTCGTACCAGCTCTCAGAGAATCGCACGCGTTTTAACGAAGTTGATGAGCATCTACGAACGTCGACGAATCTTCGCCCTCCTCGTCGTCCCTTTTCCACCGTCGTTTTTCCTTCTCTTTTCCGCGCGGCCGCGCGAGGACGCTGGCGTAAATCGGTCGCGGTAGCAAAAAACTGTTCATCTTAAATGGAATGTACGCAGATTGAAACTCTCTTCGCTTGGATCCCGCGGTTTTGCAATTTCTTTTGGAATCGGCGCGGCGAGAGCCGCTCGGGGATTGCGTCGTGGTATCGTAAAACCGAGCCATCTCTCCGAGTTGGAGTCCGAAGGGGGTTTTCTCATTCGCGAGACGGGGAAATTAAGGTGGTCTCGAGGGGATATTCTTTTTTTTTATTTGCTGGGAAACTACGAGTGGAAATAATTTTCAACTTTAATAGGAGATCATAGAGTATGTTTCGCGTAGTTTGACATTTTTCAGCCCTTCGTAATTCGACTCTATAAGGTGGCTAATAAGGACGAGTTAATAGTTTAAGGTGTGGAAACATCGATTTGGTTCTGTAGTACTTTTCTTCTCTAAAAATTCTTTAACCTCGCCAAACTCACGAATCCTGTTCAGATTCATTTTCACTCCTTAATAAAAAGTTCTGTCACCCATTTCTGTTGTCAACGTGTTGACGATGCAACGCCCTTCAGTTTCAGGAGTTGGAGAAACGCAAGGAAAACAGTGAAAGCCGACGATTCCCTCGAAGGGGAATAGGACAAGCCGAGAGCGAAACAAGAAGACGTGGAAGAGGAATGGGATCGTCCGAGAAATAGGACGCGTTCCGTATAATGTCGGCGCGATAAAAAGTATAATGAGAGGGGGATCCCGTCGCTGTAAGTACAAAGGAATATTACAGTAAGATCTGTAACGCGTAAAGCCGCAAAATAAACGAACCACGCGTAATGGGGTATCGGCACATACCCTGGCCACATATCGCGGTTCGCTCGCACACGCGTGTAACTGGGTAACCGCTGGCCAAACAGACCTGAAAGAAGGCCGTGAAAAAGCTGAGGAGATCCGATACAAGAAGCGTCGATCTTGGATATCGCCGACAGAGGATGGCACGCGGTTAGGGCTGTGGTATGCGCATCGGGTGAGGGCTCTTTTCCCATATGTTTACTCGTCTTCTTAACGATCGTTTTTGGAAAAAACGGTCTCGCGGTTGTCGGTTTACACCAGTGATTCCTAATGCTCTTAAGAGGGCTTGTTGTTTAGATTTGTAGTATTGGGCTTATTGTAGGGTTTAGGAAAGGAAACCTGACAGGGGTTTTAATCGTGAACAATCTTGTGGGATACAATAGGTGTTGATAGTCTATGTCGATTTAATTTAGTATTGTAATGCTTCTGCACGTTTTTAGGAGTTGTTTTTAGGTTCGAGTAACTCAAATTCTGAAATTGCAAGAGAATTTAGTGTAACTAGAATTATTAAGTTGCGAATCGAAAGTATCAAAAATAATATACATATGAAGACATACGTTCAAAGTTTTCTTTATGAATTTGCATATATGTACATCCGCAGTCTAATAATTAATATAGAATTATTTGTTCTGTTTAGAGAATATTTAAGAAGGATATTCAAGTACCATCAACTCCATTTGATAATAGTTATCCGAGTGACTGATTTAACAGGTCGCCTGTCCATCGAGTCGTAAACTCGTACGGCACATGTATCTGAAAAACCTGTTGACGAAGTGCCTTTGTTGCGTCACACAGTCGTAAGGATGCTCCTTTATCATTAATCATCGTCGATCCCTCATCGCATTCTTATCGCGATGCATCGCTGCTCCTACGATAAATTAATATCGTGACGGTCGAGCTGGATGCGGTGATCGGTAGAATTTATACACGATGTTGTCGTGCAAGGGTTGTACACAAACTCGGTGTATTTACACAACATCTAACCGAGTATTACAGCAGAAGAGTGGCAGAATAATTGGCAAGTTTGTCAGAAAAGTTTCGTTGAAAATTTCCCTGCGATTCACAGAAATTAACCCACGAGGATTAATGGAGTGCCAGGTCATCGAGTCAGGCTCGAGTTGATATGACACACGTCTGCTCGAGAATAACGCGCATCGTTTACGTTGCTTACTTTCGCGGCCTTTGATTGCTTAATTTGTACAGTAATAGGGTTTTTATAACGCGAGGTTGTAAACACGATTTTTTATTTGCGTGAGCAGGTCTTTATGGTTCCTTTATGGTTTCTTTTCACTAAGGAACATTAATAATTAATTTCAGGGATTAAATGTTAATCAAAACATATCTGAATAGAATTCGTAAATTTTGATGAGAATACAAAAATAAGTAACATAACAAATGTCAGGTTCTATATTTTCTAATTGTCTCGAGACAAAATTTCAACCCTGTAGACATTTCCATGTGAACAACTGTGACTGTCAAATTTCTCCAAAATCAAATCCACGTTCTCCCATGGGTGCCAACAGACCTCCCCGACTATCTGTCCCAATTTTCCCGAAGCATCTTTCGCGTAATATCAAAACAGACGTATGAAAAGGTGGATCGATCACTCCCGAGCATGATACTCGCTCGTAGGATTCTTGTTCTCGCGGACCGCAACAAGGTCATCTGCTCCGACGTCGGGGCCCATAGTGGCAACGCCAGACACGAGGTTTCTAGGAGGTTGGAGAGAAGATCGAGAACGCCGGTAGAAAACCGGATGCACACTTTTGCGTCCGTGTTGCACGGACCAGCGACCACCACCGCTGCCATTAATAATCGAAGGTCCACGCCGATGGGCGGGTGGGTGGCTGGGTGGCGCGGTTTACTTTCTTTCGAGCAACAATACTTAGGATCCCCCTTCTCGTCGCCCTTCGTGATACACTTGCTGTCAATGGGGCCCCGCCACGGGCATGGGAAAGTCCGAGTTCTCGAGAGATCATTTCGAGACTATTCGAGCGAATCGACTGGAACGCCCACGGATGGGTTGGCACCCTGCCCTGCCCGTGCATGTTCCCTTGTACACGTTTCGATCGTGTACAATGATCTCCATCCACGCTTATAATTGATGAATTGACACCGGGATTGGAAACGGACGGACGCGGCTATCGGGGATCCGCGATCGACGCCTCGAGAAACTTTCTACAGACCCGGACGAATGTCATTGAAATACGAAATAATTATTCGAATTAATTTGCGGTCTGTCCTCTAAGTAGACTGGGGATATTCATGCATTTCTAGGGAAACCTATGAAAACGGGCAGAAATGGTAAAGCATAAAATATCATTAATAATATACACATGTGTTACACGTGTTCGCAATTATTCAGTTTTTACATTCATACTTCACGTTTATTTCAAATAGCTGCGAAACAAAATAATGTTTGAAACGATGTAAAGAGTGCCCAGGCCTGAAGCTGTTGTGACTCGAGAGTAGAAGGGAATAAACTTCGAATGAGAGCGACCGCCTTGCTAGGTACCTCGCCGATGTCGATGAATATTAATTATTCTGATCGTGACGAGATTCCGCCAGTGTCCTCCTGTGCCTGAATAACCGGCTGCTGATTGCAGCCTATTTGCGAGTTCGCACGACTCTCCTCTGCTCGAGCATCTGTCCCCCTCTGTCTCGCGCAAACAACTCGTAATGCAACGTCGGGTAAATTGTTATTGACAATGTCGGGCCGCAGACTGTCGACTCATTTGGTTGATTTTCAACATTGTAGCCTCGCGAACCTTTTTGTGCCTTCACGCGTATTACGGGCGAGTATATTACTTTCTATTGTGAAAGAACGCGCGATTCCTCCTGGCCTGTTTGTCTTTTTTTCGGGGCGGGGGGATGCTGCGATGGAAACACATAGCGATTTATCCTGTATCATGATGTACGAATGTAGACGCGAAGAGCGTTGGTAAAGGGCAGATCGTCGCGATGGGCGTGTATGATATCACTGATTCTGTCTAAACGCATTCTCTACGTAAACCGTGTATTTTATTTTAGCGTTCCAATTTTACTATGACTTCGAAATTGATTCCATTGAATTGATTTACATTTACTGTATTTGTATAGGTGTCGACTGCTAGAAGGGTAGATCTAATTCCACTGGATGTTGGATTTCGTTTAGACGACAACGCAAATGAAAAATGGTTACTTTCAAATAGGTTCCAGAGTAACACGATTCAGAGTCCGTCGTTCTCACAGCAGCTCGAAATGCTCCCGCCTCGTTCCTCAGCGCGGCGTCCTCCTAACCACAAAACGGATTCTCATGGTACAATATCTTACCACGAATTTAATAGCGCGCGCACACAATAAGGGAACGAACGCAAACGGCGTAATTGTTAGGACGTTGTCATGCCGGGTTCCCTCGTCACTCTGCGTCGTTAACCATCTTGGAATTATGAAAAAAAAGAAAAAATAGCGAGTTCTGATTAATTGTGGATCCTAATCCGTGGTATACAGAGTATCCTCTTATTTGGAGTGCAGTGAACGGCTCAATAGTCCCTTTCAATGAAAGCGACCGACATCCTCTGAGTACTAGATCGTTACTTTGAAATATAATAATATCCATACGTCGTTTCGGCGTGTGCCCGTTAGGATTTATAGTCTGCGAACGATCGTTTCGTCCCCGACGCGACGTGTACGAACTGACCCGGTCTTATCCGATAGCTCCTCGACTATATAGATCGTTCTACCCACGCGTATGGAAAGCGGAAGGTATCAATGAGGATAGCGGGTTGCGATTCGAGGAACGCTCACCGCCGATAACTCTTAGCCCCGAAGACCTAAACAATGCCGGATATTCGTATCACTTGCGGGATAGTAGATAACCCCCGTGTCTCTCTCGGGCTCTCTCTGCAGCATGGTTTTTCCTCTTCGTCGAAGCACCCTCCTCTTACCAAGAGAACTTGCCGACAAGGCGGTCGTCGATTGCAATTTGCCGATACGATTCTACCTGCCGCGTTGGGCGCCATGTTTCCTCCCTTTCTCTCTCTCTTTCCACTATCTCTCGCCTTGTTCCTCTTACAAGTCCTCACCTGTCCCCGTCTCTGTCTGTTTATCTGTATCGTCTTCTTTCTGTTCGAGTTCGAGCAGCTTAAAATCCAGTCGAGGCCAGTCGGTTTGTAGTAGGTGGCATCGGCAGATACATCTTCTCCCGGGTAACTACCCGTTGAGCGTCTTTAAACGGCTGCGGGTCTTGTATGCGCCGACCGGTCAATACGTATCGGTGATCCTCGGCAGAGATGGCACCGTGTGTGCTCGCAGCTTAACGCCGCCGTGGATGAGACGAGATACCAACCAGATACAGTCCTTCTCGCGGCTAAGAGCGGCTCTATTACCAGCTGCTATCCGTGGCCTACGGTAAGATCTATCGATCTATGCGATAGTCAAATCTGGAGGCTCGGGAAATGGGTTACAAAGGATGGAGGAAAGGGAGACAAGGAAACGGAAGGAAATGGACTGGTGGAAGAAGTGGACGTATCCGATTTAACAAGACGAATAGTATTAACTCTTTCAGACCTGAATTATTTTTCTTCTCGTACTAATGTAATTTAATTGTTAGGGTTACTTTGGACTAAAATTAGTATGGAAAGAATAGAACGATATTCGCTCTAAATGATAGTGTCGGTAATTTTAACATTTTATGTCCTCAATATTGGACCAGGTCCAAAGGTCCCAGGTTAAGAAGATGACTACCTCAATGTTACAAGTACTATGTTTTGAACACGTCATACCTCGGTTTTCATCGCTTTATGATTCCAAGATGGGCGCGTCCTGGTTGGAATCCTAGGTCAAGGGACGGGGATCCCGAGCAGCATTCGTTAATGGCATAACTATTTCGAGAATCTCGCGATCTCACGGGTTGGGAACCTTTTAACCCCTTATC